TCTCTCTCGAAGGAGAAAAGAGACGAAAGAAAGGAAATGATCTAAATAGACATTTTGCTAAAAAAAAAAAAAAAGACATACAACTGGCCAACAGCATTATGAATAAATGCTCAACATTGTTAATCATCAGAGAAATACAAATCAAATGAAATACCGCAATGAAACATCATTCTCCAATTAGAATGGCTTAGACAAAAAGACAAAACACAAGTGATGGTAAGGATGTGAAGAAATGGAAACTCTTACACACTGTTGTCAGGATAATAACTTAGCACAACCACTCTGGAAAACAGTTGGGGGCTTCTCAAAAAACTAAAATTAGAGCTACTATATGACACAACAATCCACTGCTGGGCATAAATCCAAGCGAGAAAAATTAGTATGTTGAAAACGTATGCACACACTGGGAACCAGCAGTTAGCGTAATGGCTATGTCGCTGGACTCCCACGTAGTTGACCGCGGTTCGCGTCCCGGACCCGGTGGCTTAAAACTCACGCCGGGCGCGTGTGCGTGCGTGCCCAAGATCCCGAGAGGAGAATGGAGGAGAAGGGATTGCGGCGTGACCATCCCCCCTGGGGGGTGATTTCTCGCTTTCTGTCTCTATGTCTCTCTCTGTCTGTCTGGTGAGCGCCTGTGCCCCACAGTGAAAAAACCCCCCAAAAAAAAAAAAAAAAAAAACGTATGCACACACACACATGCACACAAAATGATAACTGAGTAACGATATGCTAACAAATTTGATTGTGGTGATCATTTCACTGTATACATATGTATATGTATATTATGCATATTATATATACAATTATTACTGTTTTTTTTTCTTTTTTTGGAAGGGAGAGGTTTTTGCTACAGGGCTTGTGCACTCAACAGATGAAAGGATTAAAAAACTGTGGCACATATACTCTATGGAATACTATTCAGCCATAAAAATCAACAAAACCCTGACTTTTGACAGAAAGTGGATGAATATGGAAGATTTACTGCTGAGTGAAGTAAGCCAGGCTATGAAAGAGAGACATTGTATGTCCCCACTTAATATATACCGAGTGTTTGCACAATATGACTGAAACTGATTGACAAAAGTATATACAAACACAATAAATGGGTGTTAATACCAGATATAGTGTGTGTGGAAGAGTAGGACCTGAGGAAGGACATTTCAAAAAAAAAAAAAATACAGAGTAGTCAAATCATTAATGGGACAAAGAAATGTGGTATTATCTGTTGAAGATATTTTATAGTTTAATCAGCTGGAGTAGAGAGAAATGTTTACATATTGAAATATTCACTTTGTAAGCTAAAAACGGTAATTGAATGTATAAAGAAGAGGAAAAAAACCCCACAAAATTGAAAAAAAAAGTCACAAGAGAAAAAGATCATATTATTAGCTATTAAAAGACAGTAAATACAATTTAACATTTCAATTGCAACTATGTATGGAATGATAGCTAAGTAAAAGCAATTTATTCCAATAAAGTTAGCCATCTTAATGGTAAAGTGGAAGAAGCATTTCTATTAAAACCCACCATAAATAGGAAAGGAACACTATCATGATGATCCTTTAAAACTACACAGCAAGATGGAGGAATAGGCGGTCTCAGCTCATTTCACAGGAACAATGATTTCACATCCATTCACAGACAAAAGTGATATCTTCGGGGCTCACTGGCATTTAGTAGGAGGTTATAAAACTTTGGTGGAGCTCCAGATTGAGGAGGGTCCTCTTGAGAGAGAAGACTTGCACCCAGGTGGCAGGCTTACTGACTGTGGTCATAGCTCCTGACACAGAAGTGACCCTGCCACTCTGTGGACTTGTCCACTGCTCTGTTTGACCCTGGTCCTGCCACCAGAACCATCATCCACAGAACCTGGCAAGAATCACATCCATTCATGCCTCAGGTGATAGGTCTTCTGACCTTGGTCCAGGCTGTGGACCCTAATGAAATCTTGTACCTCAACTCCAGCTCCTTCTACTTGTGTTCTGAAAGCAGTCCTGCTGCACAGGCACCCACTGTGAGATATGCACATCTTGACCTTGCAGGAAGGCCTGCTAACCTTAGTCTCACAGCACATCACGAAACAGCTGTGGGACTTGGCTCCAGTCTCTTTCAGCTGCAAGTGAAACAGTTCTGCCTTCCCTGGAACCCTCCAGAAGACCTGTCCGGGCCTCTGGAGGCAGACCTGCAGACCATGGGTATTGGCTGTGGACAATAAAGCAACCTTGTAACTTGATTCCAGTCTTGCTAGCCATGGTCTGAGGCCAAAGCTTCTCAAAGACCCACCCAGTGACACAGTGCAAGGCCCACAGACCCAGAGGGAGCCACACTCTCTTCATATAAGGGAGTTTCTGTAAGGCTATCAGCAGATTTATCAAGAGAAACCTACCCTAAGATGTCTGTAGAATTAAAGAAATTCCATCAAAATATCAATGGCATTCTTCACGGAAACAGTAGTAGCTATCCCAGTGTGAGTTTGAGCCACCAGGTCTGGGACTCGAACCGCGGTCGACTACATGGGAATTCAGCGATAGAGCCATTATGCTAACTGCTGGTCCTAATTATTACTCTTTTAATATATAAATTTTTATTTGTTAATTATACTCCAAT